CCAATATTCTATACAGCCCCAATGCCAGGATACAACCCTACAAAACCCTTCTCTAAGTTGTCACCCCAACTGTTAAAAACAGTTATAGCACTAAATACATATTATTAAATATTTATTTCTATTTCTTTATCTTGGTCCTATCTGTTTTTTGCAATACGGCTTCTGACATGCGGCTTTAAAATCCAATGTAATATTACCTTCAAAAATAAAAGATAAGAAAAGTATGAGTTTGTTTAAAAACAAGAACATCAATGATTTTAGTGAAAGGAGTTTTAGAGGAAAGATGATAATCAGGAAAAAGCTCAGAGACAATTATAATTTAAGTTAGGAACTGAATTTCTTTTTCGTATGCCATCTTGTTCCTTCTTGTCATTTCTTAAACTGATAGCTTAAGGACAAGACCTACATATTTTGTATTATTTTGCCTGTCAATGGATGCATGCAGTTCGGTTGTTTAAATAAATGCTAATATTTTTTATAATGCAGGTAATATATACAGTAAATAAACTTTTCAAGAGGAGACATATGATATATTGCAACTAATTCAAATAACAATGATTTCAAACTACAAAGAAATCCAAAAGAACTTTGAAAATATAAACCAATTCATCTCCAATTTAACTTTACAACAACAAAAAAATCCCAGGAAACAACAGAGAAGGAACAGATAAAACAGACAACTGAATACAGATTTGAGGATAGAGACTTAAAGATTTTATTTATTTATTTATTTATGAGACTTATATACCGCTTTAAGTGCAAGCACTCTCTAAGCGGTGTACACCAGTAAGCAATGTATATATATATATACATTGCCCCCAACAATGTGGGTCCTCATTTTACCTACCCTGGAAGGATGGAAAGCTGAGTCAACCTTGAGCCGGTGAGATTTGAACTGCTGACCTGCTGAACACAGTCAGCTAAAGTGGCCTGCAGTACTGCACTCTAACTAAGATGGAACCTAACAAAACAAAGAAGTATGATTTAACCCAAGTGAAAAAAAAATAGAAGAAATACTGGATTTGGAAAAGACAACTTATACTTTAACACCACAAAACAAATTTGAGGATAAGAAAAAAGATTGGACAAAATGGACTGCAGAGATGCCAGGAAAAACAGTAGAACTGGAGAGACAAAAAATGATAAGAGAAGCAGAGAGAAAAAGAAAAAGATTTTCAAAAAAAATGAATGGGCAAATGCCTCTCACAAAGATATTGTACTTGACTTACCTTTTATATCTACAGTAACACCTACAAGAATATGGAAAGATTCTTTGATTCAGCAGAACATATTGATTAAGAAAGATACTGGACAAAAGAAAAAGGCTAAAGTGAAAATTAAGAAAATAGATGATGGGGCCTATCAGAGAGAATATTTAAAAAAGAAACACCTGCTCGAATATGGTTAAAGAAATAGAATATTAGATGTGAATTTGACTTTAAGAGGGAAGAGCCCCTCAAGTAACATAGTACTTTCTTTTTCTTCTTTTTTTATTTTATTTCTTGATATGACTAGATTTATTAAATGGAATATTTAAAGATTAAATATATTTTTAATTATGGTAAAAAAGAACGAAAAAAAAAGGAAATAATTATGTATTAGCTTATAGGAAATAGGGATTTTAAGTAGCATGCTATCTTTTTATTTATTTTTTATTCTTATTCTTTTTTTTTGTAGTCTTATTTATTCCTTAAGAATGGTAAAAGTATTGGGTTGGCTTATATGAAAAAAAATAGACTTAAATATTTAAATGTAATTAACTTTGAGAAAATCTTAACCAGTAAGAATGTTTTGAACATTGTGGGAAAAACAAATGTAAACAAGAACTGTAAACAGGATCTATGATGAGACCACCAGAATGACTAGATAGAAAAGGAATATTATATTGATGTGATTATTATCTGTAGAAATATTAGAAAACTTTTATACTCAATCATCATTCATTAAAACAACAAGAATTGTATTAACTTAAGGTTGGTAAAAGAGAACATTATGGGAAAAAGCGGAAATCAAGTAAAGTTATTATGTGGATTATAGATTATAGAAATCAACTGTTAGTGAATGTTTCTTAAATATAAACCCAGACAACACAATTTACCAAATATTAAGGTGATTATGTTAAAAAATTAATAAAACATATTTAAAGAAAAAACTGGCACTGCAATCAAACAACTTTATCTAATCATTATTATATTTAAAAGAAATCTCTTCAAATCTTATTTCAATGCTTCATCACAGCAGAGTGTACATGTGTATACATTTCTGGCAGATATGAATGATGAATGCCCTGAGTGTATACTGACAGAATATATTCCCAGTAGGCTCACCCAAGGCATCCTAGATAAAGCAAACAGGAACCTATACTGGGCAAGGATCACTTTACAGCATACTATACAGCAAAAGCCAAAAATACAAAGTGATTGGCAATACAGAGCCAAATGTTGGATCTTCCACTCAAATGGCACGCAAACACACTACCGAGGAAGATCTGAGGATCTATTGGAGTTTATGGTATTTATGGCATGACTAGGTTAATGTTTTCAGGATGTATAAATACTGATGTAAAATTCAAAGTAGCAAAGATAGGATTGCAGTCAGTACATGGAGCATATGAAGCAAGAATATGGGAAACTTAATGCAGTAAAAGAAGAAATTAATTTATTACTCATTGATTTCCTAGATGTCAATGAACTGAAATGGGTTGATTTTCAATCAGAAGTGAAATGAAGTCATACAGCTTACTCTTGAACACACAAAAAACAAAGAGTGTTTTTGTTTGATTTTTTTATCAGATTTTGGCCATGTCAAACTAGTTTTGGGGAAAAAAAGGAAAAAGGGAAGGGAAGAGGTTCCTATTATTGCATAAACGTTATTGCTGTTTTAGGCTGTTTAATCACTACCTTTTTAAAAAAATCATTCTGTAGTACTGTTCTATATATTCATGGATTTAATTACTACTCTAATGCCAGTTTATATACAATGCAATGCAAAATTTCATTTACATTCCTGTTTTCCCTCCAAATATTTTGTCCCCCCCCCCCCGAATAAGCCAATTGAAGCGCTCCAGTAAGATATTCAGGAATTCCAAATGCGGTTTGTCCAGAACAGAAAGTTGTCTGCAGTTTTCTGGATGTATTAACATCCAAAATATGCAAATGGAACATTTTCCATGTCTGATGGTGAGTGCTAATGGTTTATTTTGGTTTTTCTTCCCTTCAGATTGCTAAAGATTCTGGAGACTGTTGTGTAAATAACCACTTGTAAGCTCCTTTATTATCAGTGAAGTTCACAGATTCACAGAAAGCCAGTCAAAAAGATAAAGCATTCTCTGCCTTAATGTCATTTGGGGCAGGTATTGCTTATAGATTATTGTATTGCACACTGGACAACTGAGAAAGTCAAATATTTTTAAAAAGTCAGCACGTTTTATTGATTATGAAAAATATTACTTTTATCAAAAACATCAGACAATGGAATGTGCTTAGAAAAGTAGGAATCCCAAAACATTATCCCAATACAAAACCTATACATAGTCATGAATACGATAAGAGATTGATTCAAACAAAGTTTTATACACTTCCCTTATTCAGCCTTCAATGTTAGATATATATTAAGAGAAGCTTAATATATTGTTTTTATTTTATTGTTCTCTAGTTGAGTGTTTGCAAAAAGACTGCCATATTTATATTCTGCTAATGTTGGTACTCAGTTATCTTGTAAACCATCTATGATATGTAGAATTGGGTGATATAGAAATTCTTATAAATAAAATTAATCAATAAGTATAGCAAATAATTATATTTTCCCCTGAATTTCTGGTTTTCTAGCTAAGGGAAAACCAAGAGGAATGGTGTTGTGGTGATTGCAGTACTTTCTGGAAAGATTAAAGTATTAATATTGGCATATCTGGTTGATTGCAGGGTCTTTGCTTTCGCTTGCCATAGTCAGCAAGATGTTTAGACTGGATTTAGCTTTTCTTCTCCATCTATGGAGTCCTTTCTACCTAGGATAGGTAGAACCTGTTGTTTAATATTAAAGATACTATTGCCGGATTTAACTGTTCCAAGTAAAGCTGCCTTTTGCAATTGATTGTGATTTTGCCAATGCCAATAGTGTTCAAATGGTGTTCCAATTGTTTTGGAATGTTATTATATTTTTATCCTATATATTTATATATAACTCAAGGCAGTGGACATAGTTAATACTTCTGCCTCCTATTTTCCCACAACAACCTTGTGAGGTGGGTTGGGCTAAGAGAGGGTAATCACCCAGCTGGCTTTCATGCCTAAGACTTGAAACTATTTCCTACCTCCTTAAGCTGTTTGACCCAAATACCCCTTTTCCCAGTCTTGAATATTATAGTAAAAAAATCACAAACATCTCAGCAGTGGTAGTCCCAAACTGGATGCTCAGCTCACAAATAAACAATTACCCCCAGGATATGCCAAATTAACCCTAATTTAACAGCCACTACATGGAAAATTCTTGAAAGGCAGTGATTTGTTTTAATATGCAGTTCTAGCCTTTATTTCTTTCAACAGTCTTAGCACAACTATGGTATTCCTAAATAGACATGCAAAACAGTTTCAGGATAGACAAACAGAACCAAAGGGTAGGACCAGTACCAATAATTAAAGTTAGATTATTAGGGGGAATTTCCTGATGATAGATTTTGTTAGCTAACAGAATAGGCTGCCCCTTGAACTGGTGGTCTTCAACTAAACTGCATAACATCTGAAATGTTTTGCAAATCTTGCACCAAACTGGGTTGGACTAGAATTCAGGGGTCCTCCCTGGACTAGATGATCTTTGAGGTCATTTCTAACACTACAATTTCTTGATTCTTTTAAGTTTAATTAGAGAGCTCTTTATGTACACCACATACATACACACATAAATACATACATATATTATTATTATTTAATCTTGCGCTTTAAGCTTCCCTTTGATGTTATAAAGGTATTTTGAATTCATTTTATATAAGTAATGAGTTTACTCACACACAACCCTGAATGGAACTAAGTTGCCCAATGTGTGATACATTTGTGCATGAACTGAGGCGTGCACTTTCACGAGCGGGCTTCATGTTCTCAGGTGCAAATGCAGTCGCGGAAGTAGAGTTCGAAGTGAGGGTTTTTGCATTTACAATAAATATTAGCACTCGTATCCATACTTATTGGCAGGAAGCATCGCAGAGCAAGGCTTAGAGTTCAGGTCGACCGCACGGCCGCAGGTGGTTTGTGGATTTCCAGCCACCGAACGTCCGCTCCTCCTCGAACCCCAGGGAATCCTCACACACACACACCCCGCACTACCACGTCCCCTCCTCCTCCTCTTCGCCGCTCTCAGGCCCCCTTCCCTCCCATTCCCTGCAGCCACCCGCCATTCAAGCACCTATCCCTCCCTCATTTCCGCTTGCGCGTCCTGGCTGGTCCAATCCTCCTCTCCGCTTTCTTCCCGCCTGTCTCGCCGTGCGCATACTTGGGTTATGCAACAAGCCATGCGCCCTAGCGTCCCAGCTGCAGGGCGGCGGCGCTGGGGCCGTTTTGATTGCTAGCCGAGGCTTTGTCGAGGGCGGTGGTGGAGGTGGAAGAGGAGGCGGAGGAGGAGACGCAAGGGGGAGCTGGCCTGGCCCAGCCAGCCTGCCCTCCGGCTCTGCCATTCGGGTGGAAGTAGGAGCGTGGGCCGTCGGCCCTCATCCAGCTGCCTTCCGCTTGCCAGAGCGAGTTAGCGGGCAGCAGTGGCGGCCTGGGCACTCTGGGCCAAGTCCCGCCTGTTCCGCGACGGCTAGTGGGCTGGCTTCCTGCACGTTGTGCCGCTCCCCCCCTTCTTCTTTTCCTCCTTTTCCTTCCTCCTCCCTCCCTTCCTGCTCTCTCGCTTTTCCCTCCCTCCCTCCCTTCCTTTCCCCGGCAGTAGGAGCCGCAGCGGCAGCAGCCACAGCAGCAGTAACCCGGATCCCCTGAGCCATGGCGCTGTGAGAGCAGCACATGGCGGGCGCAGCAGCCATGAATCCCCCAGTAATCCATACAACTCCCCCCTGAAGAGCCACCGTGTAACTGCAGCCGCCGCCCGCACCCGCTCACCCATCTACCAACCAACCAGTACGACTTAGTTGAATAATATTAGACCACCAGCACCATCTCTGCCCAGCACTACCCATCGCAACTGCTCCTGCCGCCTCCACGCCCGGACCGAAGACGCTCTTCTCAGCCAGCTCCTTCCCTGCGCCGTTGCCGCCACCTAAGTCCCCGCTAACAGCCAGCCCGGTACCACTGTCGCCATGGGAGTGCAGGGCTTCCAGGACTACATCGAGAAACACTGCCCCAGTGCTGTAGTGCCGGTGGAATTGCAGAAGCTGGCCCGGGGCAGTCTGGTGGGTGGTGGTCGCCAAAGGCCTCCTCAGACCCCGCTGCGACTCCTCATCGACGCCGACAACTGCCTGCACCGACTCTACGGCGGCTTTTACACGGACTGGGTGAGCGGCGGGCAATGGAACCACATGCTGGGCTACTTGGCGGCGCTGGCCAAGGCCTGCTTCAACGGCAACATCGAGCTCTTCGTCTTCTTCAACGGCGCCCTGGAAAAGGCCCGGCTCCACGAGTGGGTGAAGCGGCAAGGCAACGAGCGCCAGACGGCCCAACAGATTGTCAGCCACGTCCAAAACAAGGGCACCCCACCGCCCAAGGTCTGGTTTCTCCCGCCTGTCTGCATGGCGCACTGCATCCGCTTGGCCCTCATCCGCTTCCACATCAAGGTAAGCGAGCGAAAGAACGGCCTACTCAGAGGCTGCCCATCGCCCTCTGAGCTGCCCCACGGTCTCCTTGCATGCGTCGCCCTGCCCCATGACACCAGGGCTCCCTTGCAGCCCCGATCTGCCCTCCAGCCCTGTTCTGCCTCTGCTTTTCGCTCCTTTTTTACTCGCTTCGCACTATCCGATTCTCCACCCGTCTCATGGGGGCCCTTTAGTAGGGGCCTGACGCCCCTCGGGGATCAACTCCTGAGCTGCCGTCTTCCTATTCATGGAAGCGTCTCGGCACCTTACTGGGTTGCCCCCCGTCCCTTCCCTGCGGTGGACAGAGGGGCAGCATTAATAAAGATGGCAGCAGACTTTTCCCTCCCGGTTATCGTTTGACTAATTCCAGAGGGAGGAAGGGAGGGAAGTTCTGTTTTCCCATATCCGCAAAATGTCGTCGAAAACTGACTGAGTTCGAACCTTGAGCGGGTAGGCGAGATTTCCTGGGATCCAGCGTGTTTCCCGCTGGTCGTTAATGATCATCCAAGGTTGGCCCGAAAGTACTGTACAGTACTGCGTTTGTCTTGGCTACAACTCTCCCCTCCCAGAAACAGAATAAAAATAAGTAAGTCTCGCTGCGTCCTCACTAAGAGGCAGGGAGTACAGGGTGCCCGAGCTGGCATAGGAGAGGACTTAGTAAGCAAACTGATGTCCTCAATCTGTACAGGGATTTTTCTATTTATACATATAGAGCTTTCAAAATCAGATGAGAGGAACCTGGAACATCCAAAGGCTCCCATCCACAGTGTAAGAAGTCCTAATGAGTTGCTAAGATTAAACACTTTAACTAATCATCATTTTCTTGTTCCATTGTTCCTGAACTTGGATTTCTGGCTTGTTAATAATGCAAGTTTTTTGCCATCTTTCCTCAGGCCTTCTGCCATCATTTTTAAGTATAGGTCAGGTCCATTCTTTCTCCATACTAATAGCTATAAACTATAAACTATAGTTTAAACTATAAAGGAAGATAGATAATTGATGATCATTGTACTTGATCCAGGAGTGAGAGTTGCATTGCCGGTTGGGGGGAAAATCCATCTTATTATATTTTTGTTCTGGGTTCACCCTAATTGTGTATTTTGTGTTCTTTTTTGAAAACAACAGGTTCAGGTGCTTTAATTCCATTGTTTTGATCCCTCAAATAAGCAAAATGACCCTTGAAACTAGTAACCACTCTGAATCAGAGTTATTTTTTGATCCAGTTGTTTGTTTTAAGTAGAATTATTTCTATAATTTGTTTAAATCATAAATGGGAAATTAAATATTTGTCAAGAAAATGCACACAAGAAATAAGTTTTAATGTATGATTTAGAGGGCAAGGAAACTTGTGGCTTGAGACACAAAAGTTTTAAGTTTTAGACTCTAACAATACAACCATTGTAAATTTAATTATACTTTTGTAGAAGTTACTAAGTTTTAAATTGTTACTGTACGACTATGAAACAACACAATTATATATGTGGTTGAATAAATTTATTTATAATATGCTTTGATTTAAGGACTTTATTGCATAGAGTTATTCCTCCATTTTTTCTTAAGTTTTTTTCCCCTGGATAATTAATAGTATTGTTCTCATGGTAATAGTTGTAATAGCATATTTATTTTGTTTTGTCCTTAAAATAAATCTACTGATGAGGTATCCTGCTTGAACTCTTAGTTTTTCTAAGTGAAGAGTTTTGTCAATTCTGTTGCATAGTTGAGTAAATATGTGACCTTTACAGATAATGTATAGTTTAGTAATTGGAACTTGATGTTAGGAGGCTCTACTTTGTGGCAGATCAATCCAGAACTGTAGAGACAAAGGATCCTCCTCACCCTCAGCCACAGAATATTTTTAGACATGGATATCAAAAGTTAGTTTTTAATAAGTTCAGTGAAACTGAAAACGTACCACTTTTTTTCTGTAAGTGTGGGTTAAATTATTTGCTGACTGAAACTTAGCAGTTTAAGGCCTAGAATTCATTCTGTGTAATAGAATGGCTGTGATACTTCAGACTAAGTTGCTAGTGGAAGTCCCTCCCCTTGTTTCAGTTGTAACTGGTAAGAAATTTAGTAAGCCTAAAAGTCCACAAATCTGGTGTAATGATTGGCTTATATAAGTGACAGACATTAAGTGTAACATAGTGAACAAGTTAGATTGCTCTGTTCTTGTTACTCATCTGAAAGCTGCTAAGTGCAATCATATTTCTCTAAATCAGATGTGACTTATATTTCTATTTAATACATGATTTGAAGCTAGAAACCCATTTTTACAGTAGTCTTTGCAGAAAAAGGATCAGTGAGTTCAAAGAGTATTGATGTTCTGAAATTTTTATTAAAAACATTTTTCTTTCCAGCACTTAATAAGAATTTTTCTTGTAAAATGGAAATAAAAGCAAATGTTATATCATAATGTGAACTTTTAAATCCATTAGCAACAGTTCTTCTTACTCTAAATTTACAGAAAGTTGCAATAAGATATTTATTTTTCTGCAGTAATCCTTTAAATATGAACTGGCTTAACACCATTACATCTAGTGGAATAAAGTTCTAATGAACTATATTAAAAATAATATTAAAAATATAAAATAAATTCCATCATGATGACCGTTTATGTTATAATATGTACTGGGATTATTTGTCTGATTAATGAACATAATTCACATTATATTGGAATCTCAAGTGCATAATTCTAATAAATGGCATAAACAACAGAGAATATCTGTGAGTCTAGTAAGAGGATCAAAGGAAAGTTATATTCAGAACATCTAATATGTCAATACATGCCTTTCAGATTATAACATTATAAATACATAAAGCTATTTTAAATAACTTTCAGTGAAATGCTGTGTTTCTGTCATTTGACACTCAGCACTACCTATTGGACTTTTCTCCAATTTATCCAAATGTGTCAGATTATGCATTCTGTCACCTATCTATTCTGATCAAAGTACTTGATGAAGATTATATGTTCCATTACTGATAGAAGATAATATTTTTAGCTCAATGTTTGAACTGTGGGGTATTTGATGCTCTCTTGAGCTTGGTTGTTTAGACATCCATGAACACCATCTAGCAGTCAGAAGACCTAATGAAAACTCCTTAATTTCATAATTCATGGACAGACCATAGTTTCTTGGAAACTCACCATCATAGACCAAGCTAAATCCCAATCTGAAAAAATGCTAGAGAATTCCTGGAAGCCTGATACTGTGCCATCCACAGTCATATAGAGATAAACAACATCTACATGCTGTTCAAAAAAGGTAATCAAAAAGCCAAAAAAGAAACAAAAAAAAAAAAATCAAAATACTTCCTCACCAGCAATCAGCAGAGATTAAAACCAAGATTAGCAGTAGACCAACAATCAAGAAGTAAACAATACCCCAATCAAGGAACCATCAACTCAGGCAAACAAGCTAACAGTAAACAACAGTCTAATCAAGGAACCACAAGACGACTCCCACCTATACTGACAGGGCAAGCAACTAAGCACAGTGAGCACCAAGGACCCTACATAATCTATTATATTTGAAGGGGATCAAATCTGGGAGACCTAATCTTTAATAAAGGAATTTTGAACCAAACATTTAGGATATCATACACAATATATTTGCTTTATTTTTCATGATTTTGATATTCTGAGTAAAGACATAATACTGGATTTTTTCCATTGCTTTTGTATTTTAATTAGCATTTGCTCATAAGACTTAATTAACCACTGGCCATCCCCTCCCCCCAATATTGGTTGTATTGTGTAGGTATCTAGTCTGATGCTTACCACCAAATTGGCATGCTTTTTTCTGGGCAATTGAGCAAGAATTGATCAGGGTGGTCATTGTGGAAATTGAAATTTATAGTTTTACTTTTTGGTTTTTAATGGAGCAGATAGAAGATTAGTAGAAAATATGGATTTATAAAAGAAAAGAAAGTTCTGTTTATGGTTATGTTGAGTGTGGTGTGTTTAAGAGATTGGAGAGAGATTTCTTTTTAAAAAAATTCTCAATTCTATTCCCCATATTCAAAATAGTTGATCTGTTGTATATGAATTATATTGTATTCGGAAAATTATATTATTGATATTTTAATTAATACCAGAAACATAATATTCTTCCTAGAAAAAAGTCCCACAAACTCAGTGTGACCTGCATGATTGTACTATAAGTGCTGTTTTTCTAGATATAGATTATTTTAAGATATCTAGCAGTCTAGGGTAAATTTAACAATAAACAGTTAAATACAGTAAATTACAAATATTAATTCATCTTCTTAAAAAGATTGGTGAAAAAGGTGGTTTTAATTTTTGTAATGAAATTGTAGAATCTGAATGTGGAAATAAATATGAAGCAATACAAGAGAAGCCCCCTGTCTGCTTGCCACAAAGCTGGACATCTGACCTTGAGGCATTTTTATGGAAGCTTCTCTTGCTAAATGCTTAGTCAGGTTATTCTAAAATTCCTATGGCATCAGAGAATGGAAATTGATGAAATGATAAATAAGATCTCGGAATCATTAAATGAATCCATGGTCATAATCATATCCTAACTAGCTACCTAGGTATAGACATTTTCCAGAAATATAATTAGAAAAAAAAATACTATTACTTTGAGAGTGGACCAGCATTTTGAAGAAAATGAAAATATGAAATACATAATTTTGAAATGTAAAGAGTTTAAGATAAGTTGTGTTTTTATAATTGTATGAAATATACTAATTAAAGTTGTGTTCTGTACAGTGGAGCATGTATTTTTATGAGAAAGTTAATGTTAGTTTTATAGCTAGTTTAAAATAATTTAAATTTTGATAAATTCTAAATAAATAGAATTACAGATAGTTGAATTCTGAGAAATATGGAATCTACTTACCTTTTCTGGGGAAGGAGAAACCAGCAGCCAAAGAGAAAAAAAAATCACCACTATAATAAAGCTTTACATTTTTAATATATGCAACAAATATTGAAAGCACATATTTTTAGGAAAAAAGAGGCTGAGAGTAATGTAGGAAAAAACCCCAAAGTTGAGAATATATGTTTTGCTATATAAAATGTCATGTAATCAGTATTTCTGGATCTAAAGTACTGTCATCTTCAGTTCTACTTACCCATTATTTTTAACCTTTTTGAGAACTAAGGTTTTGCCTTTCTTGAGAAAAACCTCCCTATCCTTTTTAGTTCTAAATTATTTTGTATAGTATAACAATTGTATTATATTTTTTCTAAAATAGGAAATGCTTCATAATACCTTTACAATTTTTCTGCTTTGAATTATCTAAAATAGATCACTTTCATTCCCTAGAAATTGACCTAGTTCAATTTCCAGGGTCATTCTGTAATGAGTAGAAATAGTAGGTGAATTTCAGGAAAAGTTGGTCAAGCTGTCAACCACAGAAAGAGTCATTTGATTATTCTGCCACCAAAAGAGTAGGATGGAATATGATGAACCTATTAAGGCAGCTTTTCTCAAAAAGTAGGTTGTGGTTTGCTAATGGGGAACAGGTCATAAAGCATTGGATGAAGCATCACTATATAATGTTTTTCCTTGCAAGTCCATTCTAAATAAGCTTGCTAGTTTCATCCAAAGGAATGCTGAATATAAAGCAGTGTGGTATTGAAGAATGCCTGAGTATTATTTTTTGTTTAATTGTATAATGTTTAGCAAGTTATAACTTCATATACTATATATGAACTTTTTAAAACTTAACGATATTAATGTAGACTTTGGTTTATATGTACAAATGGGTGCTAACTTTTAATATATTCTTTTGCATCTCCCTTTTCTCTTATGTAGGTTGCACAAAGTATCGAAGATCATCACCAAGAAGTAATTGTTTTTTGCAGAGAAAAAGGCTTTCATGGTTTGGTTGCATATGATTCAGATTATGCATTGTGCAACATCCCTTACTATTTCAGTGCCCATGCCCTAAAATTGAGCCGTAACGGAAAAAGCCTCACAACAAGCCAATACCTGATGCATGAAGTTGCCAAGCAACTGGATCTGAATCCAAATCGATGTCCTATTTTTGCTGCTCTTTTAGGTAGGTAAAATAACACACGACAGTCTGTGTATACATGTGTGTGTGTATCCTGAAAATTTGTTAAAGGGAGACTTGTATGTTTATAATCATAAACAGTGAATGTCCTGAAAAATTCCATTGAATCTGTGTTTTAGCTATTTGGAAATCAGCCTGCTTCAATTGGAAAATTGTCAAGCCCAAACCAAAATTTTCATATCACTTAATTGAATGTTATATGAAATCTACCTGCAATTAAAATTTCTTAATTTAACCGGATGAGATTTATAAATGCAATCATTACTATGAAGGTATAAAGCTTACTAGAAAAGGAGAGAATTTTGGTTATGAGTACTTAAAAATGAAGAATGTATCTGTATAGCAAATTTTAATACCTTATAAAATAATTCTAGAATAAAATAAGATAAATAGGAAATGTCAACAAAATAAAATCCATTAAAATAGAAATCTTTAGACTTTTAGAAAGAGTTGTCTATAGAAGGAGCTACAGATGTGTGGGATTTTGTGCTGATTGCAGTAAAAAAAGGCAGGAGTGTGCTGCTTTACATACAAGCTAAAATACTGTTTAACTTACAGTTAGGTATAACTGCCATCAAGTTAACTAGAAATTAAAGCATTTTATTCACTACAGTACACTCTTGCTGAATAGACACTTAGTAAAATGTAGTATTACATTCCTATATATGAATATCTTAATTCTAATCTAAATCTGAATAAGACCAGAAATAGTGAAATAATGGTTATTCCAAATATATATAAATGCTAAGATATTTACTCTAGTATCTGCAGCAGCAAACTTGTGTACATATATAGTACATAGGAATTGAGATAATGATTTAGCTTGCTATAATGCTAATCAAGATGTATTTGTTTGCATATAATTTATTTGAAGATTTCAGCAGGTAGCTTAGTGTTGGCAATAATCCTAATTTTAAATAATAGTTTCAAGGTATTTGTCAGCCTTATGAGGTATACTAGACAGGAAACACAACCATATGAGCTAATTCTATTTTATTGTAAGGTTATATTAACAGAATCTTGCAAGTGTGAGAGAAAACCCCATCTTTTTACAGCCCTAAAACTAGGCAAGGGGCTTATTGATTCTCACGCCCTACTCACATTCCTGCCGTGGGACCAGCTGCCTTTTATCCAACTATTCCCTTACTTTCCTGTGTCCCAAAGGTTATTCCCACATACTATGTTGATGGACTGATTTATTAACAATATTTGTTAACCCACCCCAATCAACATGAATTCTGGGCAACAATAGCGTAACACAAACTTCAAAATTCAAATTACATACCAGTGAAAATCAGTAAGTAAAGATACAGGCAATGACAGATTGCCAGATTCAATGAAAGACTGAAAGCATCCCAAATTGCTTTAACTTGCTTACGAAATATAAGGAGAGTTGGGACTGATACACTTCTGGGAGATTAAGTATCTCATTAAGTTGACAGCACCATTGAGAAGGCCTGTTGTCAGATCTGCATATTCTGTTCCTTATGAGGAAAAGGAATGCTCTCTAAATGTTCTTACCACAGACAAATTCTATTTAGATAAGGCTCACACAAATCACAAGAAAATAGCCAATTCACAGAAGAGAAATCAATGATGCTTAGAAAAACTTATTTATTTATAAAACATATTGTTCAAACACATACATAAACATATACAAATTGAGAAAAAGGCACTCATGCACCCTAAACACAAAGACAGCCTTTTTTGCTCCATATTAAGAGAGTCATCCTACAAATACACCCTCTAACAGACTCTGGTTCAAATTGTTGGGTAACCAGTTAGGTATTGGCAAAAAAGATACAGGGAAAAATCTTAAATCAATTTAAATCAATTTTTGATTTAGTGTTTGAATAGGCAAGCAGCCACCACAAAACTAGATATACACAAAGATTGCTTTCAAATAGATCAGGTCTTCAGTTTTGTGTTTTAAAAAATGAAGACAAGAATGATAATTGTGGTTGATGCTATCAGCAAAGACAAGATGGAATTTTTAGAAAAGATGTTGTACAATGTAGCTTACTTGTGAATCTAGTTAGTTTAAGGATTGTAAAGATCTTGACTTTAGTAGTTGTCCATAGCAGCAGTGATACTGTATATCCTTCTTCCTGGAAAAATGATACCATCTGGATTACTGAATTTAGCATTAGTCAGTGATATATTTCTTATTTAGCTGTTTTCCACAAGAAAATGAGGATCAAGAAATGTTTTAATAAAGGATTCCTGACTAAAAAGGCAAAACTGTATTGGAGCTGAAAATATCAGTGACTATATTGCTTAAACAAAAGTGGAATTTTTGTATGATTGATAAGGCTTGCCTTCCATCTTATTTTTATCTTAGTCACTTAGTTCTGTCTGTTTTTCCAACAATTGCTGAGTACTTTGATGGAAGCAATCAGTAGTATTTCAGTATGTTTTGATATGAGTGAAAGTACTGATTCAGTAACATATGTTTTCTCTTAAATTGGAACATCTTTGATAGTGAACTTAAGTGTCTTGTGTATTGTCTTCATTATCATCATCATCATAGACCTCATAGCCATTTAGCTAATGTTTATATTTTCTGTTTTATGGGATGGTCTATCTCTATTTTGTTTACTGCCTTCTAGAGTGACCCCAAACTCTGACAGAAAAGTTCTTACAAGTGTGAGAAGAAGACAAGATTGCAGTTGGTTTCAATATTTTACCATCTGAACCTACACTGTTTGCATGATAGAACAACAGTACCATGAGGATAGTACATAATGGAACTATGAGTATCATCACGTTTTAATCAGATAGATTTTTTTTTTGAGATGTTAACATAAAAGTCGAACATCAGCATTTCATCTTTGCTGATTGACAATATTAGAAAGTTATCCATTAATCCCAGAAATATGGGTAGATCAAATATTGGAATGCTGTGCTGCCTATTCTATACCGATGCAGAACCATAATTTAAACTTTGGTATATCACCATCTCAGAAGTAGAAATATTGGAAGAAGGGAGGCTTGTGTGTCTCGTTTCCTTCTTCCTTCCTACTAAGATGCTTACATAGCTTGGAATGGTCTGAAAACTATTCAGTTTTTGCCTTGGTGAACCATAGAAAATCTTTAAATGTTCAATTTTTGTTTTATATTTGTTATTTTTGTTATAGCAGAGCCCCTGATTTTACATTATGTAGCTTAGGAATTGTTTCATTTTGTTGAAGTGGTCCACGTAGCAACTGATGTCTGAAAATCTTAACTCCTAAACATTATTACTTGGAAATAGGTTTCAGTGAAGGGGATTTTACTTTCAGAAAAACATACGCAAGAATTAGAAGTGATATTAGAAAAAATATAGATTAATTATGTCTATTAACATAATGGATTTCCATGATTTGGGAGTAGAATTTGAAGCTAATCTATCCAGCTTCAGTAATTCCAAGCACTTACTGTATTTAAGTTAATGCATATGTGGAGAACTATATAAACATACTACTTAAAATAAATTACAATTCATATTCTTACAGTTTTAAAAAGTTATATTGACCTTGGTTTTAATACTGTAAATAGGATATTTTAATTTTCCAGATATTGATGTAATTCATATGGGTATGCATTATATATTTTAGGTAATCACATTCTACCTGATGAAGATTTGGCTTCATTTCATTGGAGTTTACTTGGTCCAGAACATCCACTGGCCTCTCTTAAGGTAGAACTTCAATACAATTTGTTTCATTTTGAAAAAAATAACAAGATACAAATAATCCATAATGTGAGGCATCTTTTATTATTTTTGTATGTTTCCTGAAAAATAGTCTACTTAATTAGAAGAAGTGACAAAGACTGATAGAGTACTAATGTTGAGATAACAGATTAAAACAGCAGTTGCTTGCTTTAAGGATTTTTTGGCACTCATGCACTAAATTCTAAATCCTGTTTTTTCTTATTTCAGTTCAAATTCTCTCATTCTAGATAGAACCAGCAGTATGTTTAGACCTTTTGATTTTCACTTTTACTCCCCTTTTATTTAACAGTCTGAAAAAATGTTTTCAAGTATACTACATATATTTATAAAAATACAAAATTTAAAAGATTTGCGTAACAATAAATGATCTTATGAAGATCCAAACCCCTTCAAAAAATAGAGCGCTTGTATATTGATGAATCAGAGTTCATGAGTTAGATATTTGAAAGAATAACTGGATTGGGAAGAACTGGATTTGACTGGTTATGCCTCCCCTCTAATCTGGTTTGGCAGCTAAAATATAAGTTAAATTAATTCAGTTAGATTAAAACATTTGAAGTATTTTTTTTCCTGTTATCTATAACCAACATAAAAAAAAACCCACCAGCAAACTCTGGTATTTCACAAATAATTTGGAAAAAGTCCTTTGAAGCCTGCATGAAGACTAGCACCTATCTGCTACTCATTAAAGAAGTCTATTGCTTTCTCCAGCACTGGAGACGTAGAATCCACCAATGGGTTAACTCTGCCTTCCTGCCCATTAGACCGGGTCAGCCAACTTATCACGCCCGTCCTGGGGTAGCCACTCCCCATTCTTGACTCGGTCTTCAGCCCAGATGGACGTGATAGATTGCTCCTGGTCTAAGGCAGATAATAGAGACTTAAATATTGGTGGATTATACTCATCTCACTCCACAGTTACTTCTACAGCGCTGGGACCAGCGCTGTGTGAAATAACCTGTGGAAATCTTGGGGAGATGGCCTTTTCCTTCCCAGATCCATAGTTATGGCTGAGCCCTCAGCTTAATCTAAGGGAAATCCCTCTCCAGCTGCTCAGCGCTGCAGACGGGACTTCTCCGAACGGGGTGGGTGGGGATTTCCCTTCCTTCCGTGGCTATAGAACGATGGAGGGCTGGCTGAGCTTCAGGGCGGGGAGATTTAGCCTCCATCGCCCCTGACTCAAGGAGCCTCACCGCATTAGATCGGAGGCTGCTGATCCTGGGAATCGTTTCTTGTGTTTTCCCTCCGAGACCACTCAATTGGTCGGATCTTTGTCAGCGGTGCCCTGGTTGCCATTTCGAAGCCGGGACACATGGTAGCATAAGGAGGCATATCACTCCGCCTTCTGCCCCTTAAATTTTCCCGCCGTGAGGACGGAAGCCTCTCCCTCTTCGCATCATCGGCAGATTAAGAAGACACTTTCGCTTTCTTTTCCACCTTGCCTCATACGGAGTCACCCGGTCGCCATTTTAACTCGAGGAAGGTCAGACAGACAAAAGGCGGAAGACTGCGTGGCCGCTCAGGCCAGCGTTAGTGCCCTTTTAACTGCCGGATCCAATTTAACTGCCGGGTCAAGCGAGGTAGCTCAGCCAGCCAAAGGGCTGAAGACTGCATGGCCGCTTGGGCCAGCATGAGCGATCCCATTGCGTCGCTGCTCTCCTCCCCCCCCCGTGATTCATTACAATACAAAAATAGACAAATAAAGAAATAAGTAATTGAATAAATAATTAAATAAATAAAGTAGAAAAAATATTCTCAAATAGCCATTGTCCAACCCTGGTGCACCTACCCTGACCGCACTTCCTATTATTTCAGTTCTGCCCACTGCAACCAAGTGGACATAAGAAAGGCCGGACCCCAAAGGGGTGGGACAGCAGCGGTTCCTTTGCCGGTCAGGAGAGCGGGAGGACCATTCCCTGCTACATCTGCTTGCCAATCTCGCCAACTGATCCCTGCCAGAGCTCCCTCTCGCGTCACTGAGGTAGTTCACCCAGGATGGAGGAGTCCACGGTGCCTCAGCCCCTGAGCATCGCCTCCCCTCTCACCAGCTGCAAAAGACAAAAATCCCCCAAACAGGAGGCGGCAGGCAGGATCAAAGCAAAGGCCAAGTCCATTTCTGGAAGAAAACCTTCCAAGTTGGCGGAGAAATAGGCTAGCAGAAGGCACCAGACCCTGGAGAGGGAATTCTCCAAGGCACAAAAACAGGCCAAGGCAAAAGTGGAACAAATAGAGGATACATCCTTTGACTTCCCCTTGGGACCTTCCACCCAAGGAGTATGGTTCCCAGAGGGGTCCCCCCAGGGCTCTGAAGTGGGATCACAGGCTCCACAGGTTACACACTCCATCCCTGAGGCCACCTTCACACCCGCAGCAGCAGGTCTCAGGGAGGCGGAATCTGAGATCAACCCCTCCGAGGACCGTCTACAAGCTCTAATTGAGCAGACGTTCCACAGGATGATGGCTGCTAGAACTAACTACAGATCGAGAACTGAATCCGTGATGGCCATGCCCCCACCCAAGTCCCAACCAGGGGAAGCCGCGTATCAGGTCTCCTCCTCCTTGTCACGGTCCTTCGACAGCAGGGAATCCTGCCCCACGGAGGACGATCAACTCGACATGTGGGAGGAAGGAAGGACCCTCCTCCAGATCCTCCATTCGGAGGGGTATTCAACTCTGCCTTTTTCCTGCCTCTGCTCTGCAGAGCCAGTTCAACGGCCAACATTGGAATCACAGCGCATTTTACTCGCAACGCTGCGACCTCCGCGGTGTGGGCCACACAGGCCTCTATCGACATTATAAAATAGATCATTTTGCCTCCACGGACGGCTCTTCGGAAGGAGGGTCCTGCAACAGGTAATCTCTACAAACACAACTTCGACTTCTTCTGTTTCCCACCCATTGGGACAGTGAGGCTTTGGTATGTCCCATTGGTGGATTCTACGTCTCCAGTGCTGGAGAAGGGGCGTTGTCTTACCTGAACGCCTTTTCTCAGCACGGAGACGTAGAATCCACTCCCACCCTTAAAATCATTAAAGATCCTATTAGGGAACTGGGAGCCATCATGTCAAATTGTAGTCAGCTGCTTTGCCTTCGTCAAGAATGGGGAGTGGCTACCCCAGGACAGGCATGACAAGTTGGCTGACCCAGTCTAATGGGCAGGAAGGCAGAGTTAACCCATTGGTGGATTCTACATCTCCGTGCTGATAAAAGGCGTTCAGGTAAGACAACGCCCCTTCTAGACTTCTAAGTGAACCTGAAGAAATCGCAGCTATGTAGAAGTCATATTTACATTAACTAATAGATTTTTTAAAGCAGCTGCAGATTTTTTCCCCTATCCTCATTTAGTAATTTGAAAAATAATAGCTTTCTTTAATGTGTAGTAGTGAACTGTACAGAATTTTTTCTAAATTAGTTTTCAAAATATGCATATTCTAATATAGCTAGTTGTTTAATTCAGATTTTGTAGAATTTTCTAGTTTCTCAACTGGGCATATTTTTTTACAGTGAAAGAAGTACTATGGAAAGAAAGTGTAGTAGGAATTATAGATCCCTTTATGGCTTTTAGATTCATTCTTTATTTCAATTTTTTAAATACTATTATGTTGAATAATGGTCATTTGTACCCTGAGGAAAACTTCCATTTCAAGAATGATTTTTAAAAAGGATATATTGGAAACACCAATCTTAATTATTAATAATACTCTGTTAACATTTACTTGAAAATAAGTACTATTGATGATAGTGGAACTTGATTTCAAGTAATAGTGCTTATTATAGTTGCCTAAGCAATCTAAGATTAATACAGCAACACAGGTTGAAAAAAGATACTTATTTTATTTATTCAACCTTAACAAAAAAATCTTGGAAGAAATAGAATACTCTTAGACCAGTCCTCCAGCATCACAAGATCACAAGCATGATAAGCCATGGCATCACATGTAGATAGCATACTTCAAATCTGCATGCAGGTTGCTTCACTTGATTTTACTATATATTGATGGGGCAATTTACTTTCTGATCATAAGCACCAATAAAATGCTTTTATTGAGAAATTCCACACAATGCATTGTACTGAAAAAGGGATCCAATGCGTGCAGGATTTAATATATCTGTCTGGTATACCTTATTGAATCAGCAAGTTTTAGTCACTATCCACCAGCCGATTGCCTTTTCTTCTTTGTAATTCTGAACAGAAAAGAACACCAGTTCCCATGTCTCAAGATGATGGGCCAAACCTTTTGCAACAAAGCTCTTAACTCTTTGTCAACGAACTTGAGGAGTAAAAGCATGTTTTGATTTCTAAGTAGTAATTTGGAGATTCAATTAGAAGAAATATGGTCAGCTTTGTATATATGTTTATATGTCTCCTCTGATGTACAAAATGGAGTAGAGTAAATCTAATAGTAGCAAAGAGATGTTTGTTTTAAGGGAGTTATATCCTTCTGATATTACCTTTTGTAGTTATTTTGCTGTGTGCAATTTTATTTTGAGATCAGATCTGATTTCATGAGTTAAATCTGTGCCCATAGATGTGAGCAAGGTAAATAAGCAAAAGTAACTGCCCATTTCCTGTATCATATTATAATTTTATACCACAGAGGTCTTAATTTATAATTAAATATGGATTTAGAGGTTTACATTTATGGATGGCTGTATTTTTCAAAGATGAAACTTGCCTAGCAAAAGCATACGAGGTTGTAGAGAAGGCCTGATACAAAGGTATTAATATTGCAGCAAATTCTTTTTTCTATTATAAAATTAACAAAAAAGGAAAATACTAAAAGGAATTTATAGCATTTGTTTCACTCCATTGTTTTTTTTAAACTTGGGATCATGTAGACAGAAAGAGAATATAGAAAAATAATTTTTTAAAGAACTAGAAACCATAGGGACTTGAGTTTTTATATATTGGTTCTTCAAGAGGAAAAGTAGAAACTTTAGAAAACTAAATGCAATCTGAACTT